CCAATATTATTGCCAACAACTTTTCAGTCCCTTTCGTTAACAGCATTCTGACTTAGGGCGACATAGACTACACCTACATTTATAATACAACGACCCACTAGCACATCCACCGTCAACTTCGCCGCAACATTTGATGCCGTCCTCCGGGTTCTCCGCAGTCAGTTAGGTTACACGACGTAATGAATCTATTCGGACACATTACTCTAAAAAGGGATCCTGGGTTCGACCAAACACTGACGAGCGAGTTCCAATCATTTTCAGGACTCAGTCCTTGCGGTAATACCATTGAGTAATACGATCAGTAAGGTTGCTTACTGTCGATAAAATAAAATTTTGAGATTAGAGCCACCACTGTGCTAATATGCTTCTTGCGGACACAACCGCGTGCTGCAGACATACGACTAAGAAACCGTCAGGCCCTAAAAGGTACATTTAAACGGATATTATGCCGGGGCATGAACTTGGGAACGTTTCTAAAGTCACGACAAATAGTTCCGACTTCGAAATATTTAACGAATACTGCCACCCTCAACCAAATTTAGCCTCAAACGACTAGAATAGGATGGAATATCGGAACGACAGGAAAGGCGCAGTCGTTATTTTGTTGATTAGACGCCCTTGGAAAGGAAAAGAGACCATTAATAAGCGGTCGGGTCTCCATCAATAACATTTTGGTATAAGTAAAAAGGACTGGTTCTGCACGCTTGATGGATACTCGACGCCTAGGAATATTTTATCGACTGAATGTACCTGTCTGGCCGCGGTAGCAATAAAAATATAACACAAGCAATAAGGAGCATGACTAGTCGGTTCAAGAACTAAAAACTCGGCGGATCGAAAAACGAAATTATTTGAAAATTTAGCTTGCTCTAATAAAATCTGGTTTACGACAGTTTAAAAGAGCCCAGGTAATGAACTAAGCGTTTCAGAGGACTGCAAAGGTATCACAGAGGGTCGAAAGTGACTACGAGTCAGATTACACATTTAAATGAGTTTTAATGCATAGGATTGAAAAAAGAAAGGCGCTTTCATCCAACTAGTACTGAACTGGTTTGCGAGCACACTAACCATTTCTACCAAAATGGGATATGCAAATGGGGCCAAAATTAGTGTGCTCGAAAAATAGAAAGATTTTCACAGATTGTAGTACAAAGTTGGAAAACAAGAAAACATAAATTGTAGACCAAGCAAACTGAAGCAAGGAAAACACCAGAATCAACAATGATAAAGCACAATTAAGAAAGTAACGAGGATGTTAGCATAATTAAAATTAACGTACGAGTTTAAAACGCTGCTTTAGTTAAAATAGGATAGTGAAAATGCACAAAACGGTTATGTTAATTTCGGGCAGTTAAGGACTCGATGACTTACTCTGAACGTACTGATTATTGTCTTTAAAGTCGTCCCACGCAGAAAGCCACTTGGAATCTTTGTGTAAAACTACACCCGAAGATTCTCTACAAGTATAAAAACGAATTATATTTGCTGATTGGGAGGGCGAACTATCCTCTAGTCTATTGAAAAGAGTACGCCAGTGTTCATGCTATTCAACGAATAATGTGCAGTAGGTGCCAAAACTGTGAAGGAATATACCGAATTACATCGATATATTCTCGAATGGAACAGTTCTTAAGTGCACGTAAATTGCAAAAGATGAATACAATGTCATCTAAGGTTACTAATGAGGACCTTCTTGTAAGTTGCATAAATAAAATCATGAAAAATATACAATCAGGCGGCACCCCAGCACCCGCACGTATGCTACTAACTTTCTACAATTACATAATCAAATCGCGAGGATTTCCTCTAAACGGTGGATTCTCATGTGGTTTATAGCATATAAATACTCCGGTATTCTGGTGCTCATATCCTTAATCCCATCAGAGATTATTGTTTGAAGTTTGGGTGACATTGTTGGTTTACGGGTCTTTCGATTTCGTTCCTAAGGTTAACATGCACACTTGAACCGAGTTCACTATAATCTGCTTACGGACAGCTGTCAACACTGGGGACGAGCCGAAATCTACAGCTTTGCTATACAGCTGGATGCCTTAGAATTTGTAACTGTTTTTTAATAACTTAGCGTTCAGTAACTCAAAACACTGCCACTAGAACACGAATCTGTTGTCCTATCGCTGTGAACACGAGAATTTGAGAGCGCTCACCGATCAGATTATGAAACGTGCTCGACCCAATCTTACAGGCAGTCGCATAGTCAGATTTGTGTGAATAACGCTAAACTCAGTCGAATCTTCAAATTATAGCACGAAACTATCATCAAGAGTGAAAGAAACTTACAGCTCTTGCGGCAGTAAGAAACGTAAAATGCAGGAACAGTTCGTCTCAGAAATCGTTTTCTATTTAAATATCTGGGTTCCAAATGCTCGAAAACATTATATAAGATACCCTAACCGCTACGAGTGCCAACCAAAGAGGTTTTTGCAGATAAAGAAATGGCAAATAAAGGGTAAAGCTCTTAAAGGCTTGCGTAGGTAACGGTATCGGACAAAAGAAATAACATGTAAGCAGGAGGTCAAGACTTCATCATCTATGACAGTCGCTATTCACACAACATATATAAAACGTTGAAATGACACAAAACAACTAGTAATCATTATTTTTGACCAAGAGTAATGAGGCCTTAGCATGCTTAAATATGTTTTTGCACACAATTTAACCTGTTTAGAAGCATACGGGGACGATTAGTATTACTAAAATTGCGAGTGTTGTAAATGGAGACAGAAGCTACATTAACAGACGACACAGTAAATTGGCGGTGTAAAATAATGCAGTTCAACAAGTTTTTAGTTCAACTCATTAGGTATGCTGCACCAAAACCCAAAAAGGTGCGTTTTCGTTATTATATCGACAGGATGATCTTCGCAGATATAGCGTAGGAAGCATATAAATGGTGTCAACGAATTCCAACGACTTGCTGTTGAACGCGCTAAAAGAGTGAACTTGTAGGAAAGACTAAGTAGACAGAAAGATCTGTTAAGAGAACCACCGAAGGCCTATTGAAAGGAGCTTTAATGCTATTGACGAACGAAAATGGTAGGAAATAACACTAAACGCTTATATGGGATAACAACGTGCCACAGCTGACGAAAAATGCAAAGAGGACTTGCGTATCGGCTTCGACGATCCTCTCACTGAGATTTCCTGAAAGCTCCTTTCGTGTCCTTGGTTTATCTTGAAGGGAGGTGGAAAAAATGCAGTGCGGCAATGATGGAAGGGTTTGAAAAAATATGAATTAAATAAACTGCGTAAAATAGATGGTCATATTGTACATGAACAGTTTGAATTCAGGTGGCATGAAACAAAAGCCTACCAGGTGCCCTGTACACGAGCGCTCTGTCCGACTGCAGTTCCTTTTCTAAAGCGGATATACTCTAAGAATGTTAAAGACGTTAAAATAGCTTACCTCGCGCGCCGATTTCACGAACTCCGTATCACCGATAGAGCGTGAGGCATCTTTGAGCTGCTCACCAGCTTTAGAAAGACCTTCCACACCCTTCTTAACGTACTCATGCTTAGCTATATTTGCGCCCTCTTGTTTGATTTTCTCTGCAACGGAGCTGATTTGGCTTTTGAGTTTATCCACCGTATCTGCCGGAATTTCACTTTCGATTTTTTTCTAAAATTGTTATGAAAAAAACACCGAAATACATAAAATTCTCGCATAGACTGTATTTCTTTGGACTTTTCAAGCTTTTCTGTCTCTTCGCGAAATTTTCGAACACTTTCCTAGAGTCCTTTTAGCTTATTTTCTATAAGAAAACCTTCATTTGTTTGTCCTTCGCAGATTCTTCCTTAATTTTGCGCAGCAAATTTTGTACAAAACTATCCCCAGATGCATATCGCGCTCGAGCCTGAAAATAACAAGGGCGAAAAAAGACTTACCAAAACTGTTGGACTGCTGCGGACAAGGAAATTTCGGAAAGTCACATTAAACGCCATTCCCCCACACGCGGTGTCGCAAAAGCGCACCCTAAACAGACGAACTGAAGAAAATCAAGTTGGAGTTACGTGTTCCAAGATAAGTATTTAGTCAGTACACCACAGGTGCACGAGTACGATTTGTCTAAACAGCAATGTTCCAAGAACACCTCGTTGTTTTTCGGCCAGGATCGTCATATACAACACAAGAAAGTATATAAGCCATGTAGAAAGGGATATTTAAGAACAGGGTAGTCTCCAATTTGGCAAACAGCAAGACCA